GCGTAGTATCGCATATTAAAATATTACAACTGCATTCTTATTTGCTTCATAGTGAAATACTTCATAGTGAAACTTCATAGTGAAATATTTACCTAGCTTTTGCATTGGATCAATTTGTTTGCTTTGTTGTAAATTAAGAATAACTATTGAGTAAATTAATCATATAATGGCATACATCACATTTTACATCTATATATATAGAAAATCGGGATCAACCTTGTGCTGAGTGGATGTGTTGTGGGTTGTGGTGGTTGTGTTGTCGGTTGTGGTGGTTGTGTTGAGTTTCTGGTGGCTTGTGTCATATGATGTGTTGGTTGTGGGATGTGTGTGGTGGTGTAGTTGGATGGTTGTGGTCTGGGTGGTTGTACATCTTACTGTGTTGTGGGTTGTGGTGGTTGTGATGTGGGTTGGGTGATGGCTTTAGTTGTGTTGTGGTGGCTTTGATTGTGATGTGTGTTGTGGTGTGGTTGCTAGGTGATGTGTGTGAAGCTGTTCTATCTTGAACTGTGGTGGTTGTGGTTGTGGGGTTGTGAGGGCTAATGTGTGTGATGTGGTTAAAATCAAATATTAATGTTTTGTTTTTTTTTTTTTTATGTACTAGTAATGTAATGGTTATGATTAAAGAAGTCGGTTCATCAACCATGTTGGATAGGGAAGCCAAACTCATCTTTTGCGACCTCTATCTTAAAGAGGTTGAGGTGGGAAATAGACCCACCACCTGTTTTAACAAGAAAGGATGGCAAAATATTTTGAGGGAGTTTAAGAAAATGAAAGGAAGAGAGTATGACAGGTTGCAACTTAAGAACAACTTGAATCAGTTGAAAAAGAACTAAAAGTTATCGAAGGAATTAAAACAGACACCCACAGGCTTAGGTTGGGATCTAATGAAATAGAATGCTGATGCTTCGGAGGAATGGTGGGTTGTAAAATTGGAGGTAACAACTTTTCAAAGAAAGACCTTTTTTATTATTTTCTCTTCCATAGTTGTATGTAGTAATCAACTTGTATGTACATTGAAGACAGTGTTAACCGCCAAGAAATTCAAACTAAGTGGAATTGACCTTGATATGAAAGAAAAGTTGGATTGTATATTTGGTGAGGTTGTGAAAACGGGGACTCATCTCTAGGACCCTAGTGAGCTAGGGTTTGAAGGCATGTCAGAGGACTTGGATGTTGAGCATGTAACTGGCTCTGGTGAAGGCCCAAACCAAAATGAATTGGAGTCCACATGCAGGTCAAAGAGTCCTAGCGTATAGAATAAGAAAGAAAGATGGAGCTACTTTCATCAAAAGCAAAATATCAAAACTAATGGCTTCATACACGAGTGATCCGAGGACTTCACATGCGACCTCCATAGACAAGGCTATCTGACTGATGGAGGCAACTCCTGAATTTTTTGGGGACATGTCATTATATTTGAACTCCTTGTTGCTGGAGGACCCAACCCATAAACAGATCTTCATGAAGATGGCCTCTATCGTAGGGTCATTTTTTTTTCTTGCAGCAAGGATGATTGATTTTGTGTTGTTACCTATGAATTATTTGTATTTATTTTCTAGTAGTTTTTTTGGATTTCTGATTTGGATGTTTTTTCTTTTCTTGCAGGAGCAATCTATTTATTATTTTGTATTTATGTCATTTTATTGTACTCTTTGTGATTTGAATTTTAATGTTCTTTAATGTTGTTTGATTCACATGATTTACCTAAACGTAGCACTTGTTTAGTATGAATTTACAAAGAGAGGCATAGAATGAAAATTGTTATAGCAGTTCGTATGTTGTACGAATACTGCAACTCATATGTTGATCGAACTCCTTGCATGACATGTACTTACGTTGGTGATAAATGGGTTGGGGGGAGCTACTATAAGGACACCCTACAAGATTCTGCAATATGTTTCGTATGACAAAGCCTAGATTTATGGATCTGCATCATGAACTACATAAGAGTCGTGGACTTTAAGGCTCCTCAAGAATGACAACCCGAGAGGTGTTAGCAATATACCTCTACATTTTATAATAGAATGAATCAATAGGAGCAATGGAGCAATTTCAACATTCATCAGAGACAATCAGCAAATATTTCTATGTGGAGTTGAAGGCCCTTGTCAATTTATCGGCATAATTTATTAAGCATGATGATCCAACATTTGAGAAGAATCCAACAAAGATTGTAAACTATCTATTGTCAATGCCATTTCTTAAGGTAAAATTTTTTACTCATTATATTCAAAAGATAAAATGAGTTGCGTGGTTATCACAACTTTACTTAATTTGTCAGAACTGTATTTGAGCGATCGATGAAACCCGCATGGATGCATGTGTATCCAATAATGAAAATGTCAAATTTATTGGGTGGTGTGGATCACCTATGCAAAATATCAGGTTCGTATGTGATTTCGACATGTACTTAGTTTTGTTATGGCTAGTTGGGAAGACAATGCACATGATAGTCGTATATTTGCTTTTGCGATAAGAAATCAAAAGCACAACTTCCCTCACCAAACCCTAGGTTTGTTCATGTTATTAAAATTCATTATTAATTAATGTATTTAGAACAGATAAATATTATTTGGTCGATGTTGAACCTCTCTTACAAGGAGGGTATCTGAAGTCATTTCCAGATATGAAATATCATATTCTCAATTTTGAAAGATCCAGCAGCGTTGCTCGGGGCAGGAAAATAATATTTAACGAGAGACAGTCTTCATTAAGCTGTGTAATTGAAAGAATATTTGGAGTCCGGAAGAAAAAAATAGGTCATATTGCGTGATATGTCGACGTATCTATTTCTAAAGATGGTGCAGATTGCAGTGGCTACAATGGCTCTCCACAACTACATTTGATGACATCATTCTCGAACTAATGTAGACTTCAGCATAGCTAGTGATGATTATTTAAATGTCCCTCCTGAAGCATTTGAATATCACATAGGACAATCTATACCACAACCAGAAGTAGAATCATAAGAAGGTTGCACCCAGGATAGCGAAGGTGCCAGAGAAATGGTTGAATTGAGAGAGCTGATTACATATGTCATTGTTGGATGTTGAATAGATGATTCTTGTTTATTTTATACAGGTCATGTTTAATTTTGTTCCTTGTATTATGATATTGTTTCTTTAGGTTTCTTACGTTATTTGTAATTATTTTTTTTTCTTTTTTCTTTTTTTATTTTTTTATTTTTTCTTTTAGTGGATTTGAGAGGTCCATGATGAGTCGTTTGACCTTATGGGTTCTTCTGAATGACCTGTTAGTTGTTGGTTGGTGTCATATATTAAATCCTAGTGAAGGTAACCAAGTTCCTCTATTCTTTTCGATGTTGATGTTTTTAAGGTTCTTCTGGATGATTTTTTTTAGTGATATGCATATGTGACACGCACGAGATGGGTATTACATGGGCTAAAGGCAACCAAGAGCTCTTTTTTTATAATGTCCGCAGTCATCTTGTTATGACAGATTCGTTGAGTGTTGTACTGAGTTTTTTGGGACATCATAGCTCCTAAAAAAATGTGAGTAATTACTTCTTTTATTTATTTTTGCTTGTTTATTAGATACATGTACATTTGATTATGATTATTCAAGATTTTAATGATGTTTTAAAGCGTTTTTTTTTTCTTTTTTCCTTTCTTTTGTTTTTCTTTTTGTGGGTTTGAGAAGTCCATGATTAGACATTAGACCTTATGGGTTCTTCGGGATGGTCCGATTGTCTGTATTGGTTGGTGTCATATGTGAAATCCTATTAAAGGAAAACAAGTTCTTCTCATTTTTTTGACGATAAAGTTTTTGAGATTCTTCTAGATGCATTTTATGGTGATATGCATATGTGACACACAAGAGTTTGGTATTATGTGGTTTTCTTGTAGTGACAGATTTGCTGGTTAGTATACTGTGTGCACTAAAACCTCATGCCTGCATAAAACTGTAATTAATTACTTTTTTTTATCAATTTATACTTATATTATGACTAATGGATTATCTTTTGAAGCATTCGGAAAAGATGAGTTTAAGGATTTCAAGAGCCTCCCGAGGAGTGTTATGCCACCGCGGACTACAGAGTTCTCTGCTCAAATCATGTCAGTCACATAGCTACGAGAGACTGTTCTACAGATGCCCACGAAGAATCACGGACAAGTATGACTTCTTCCGGCGGATAGACAGGCTGATAGATTATACCGTCGAGAGTGATCAGGAATTGATAGTATCGTTGAAGGACGGTTTGCCTGGTGGCATACGTCGTCTCCATTTTAAAAATAATATTTTCATATTATTAAATATTATTTTAATAGTCTTTTTTTTTATTTTAATAATGATGATACTCACTGCTAAGTGAAATGTATATCTTATTTTTTTGCACTGTTCTGAAGTGAATTTTTGCTTCTAATATATTGTTATGATAGTTATTGCAAACAACCTTACTCCACATGACCAGAATGATCATTTATGTAGAAACAGTTGTGTTGTAATCATTTTCAAACAACCAGACAGTTTATCCACAACAATTTCAATATAATAATTTATAAATAAGCTGCAACTACCCCCAAACAGATCCTAAATAAAAATCGTTTGAATCAAAACCTAAATTGAGCATATAGGGTATATCTATTTATTGGATAATTCTTATTTATTTTATACAGATATCATTGTTAGATATACAAATGTATTCCAAGCTAAATCAAAGCTCCATACAAATTTAGTCGAACTCATTGTCAACTCGTCGTCTTCCGATTGAAAAGAATATAAAAAGAGATAAGAGAAATTTTCATACAATAATTTCAATCAATTTGTATATCTAACACTAAAACTTAACATTAGGATCATAATATAGTGAGTATATTTTCCTTATTACAAATAATATTTTTAATATAATTCAATATTTAAGTATTACACACAAAAATAAAAATAAAATTCAGTTGTTAGATATATAATATACAAATTGTGGGATGTTCATGTTGATCCCTCTATAACAACCAACATGGCTAATGATTTTACATCATGAGTGACAGCCACATCTAAATGATGCAATAACAATTCATGAAAATCAGAGTACACAAAAGTTCAATAATTTGCAAAAACAGAACATGATGACTAGGCAAAACTCCACGTTTAACGAATAACAAGAATCCTTTTCTAACGGACAATATCAGCAGCACAACCATACCAACAGATTCGAAACCTAACTTTACAAAAGGATAAACAAAATAACAAAAGCAAACTAATCTTCCTTATCAGTAATCTCCGGCCCACAAGGCGATATCACCCACTCTAAACTCCTCAACCTTCCCCACCACCTGGTCACAAACTCCTTACCCTTTCTCCTCTTCACCATCTCTCCCAACCTGCGATTCTCCTCCTTCAGCCTCTCCACCTCCATCCTCACCTCCACCTTCTCCACCTCCCTCTTTGACATAGCCTCATAGCATTCCTTATTCCTCCTCTCCAACCCATATACCTGCTTGTGCAGCTCCTCAATCTTCCTACCCAGCAGGAAAACACGTTGGTCGGCGCGCATCTTCACCACGCACCGGGCCAGTTCTGCTGCCTTCTGGCGCGTGAAGGCGGCCTCCAACGCCAGCCCACGTGCTTCCTCTGTCGCCGCTGAGAGCTCATAGCCAAGCCGGGCGTTCTCGCCGAGCAGGACCATGCGCTCCGCCTCCAAGACCTCGAGGAGGCTGCCTTGCAGCTCCGCTTTTCGAGCTGATTCCACTCTAGCCCGATCTGATGCACCCAACTCGTTCAGGAGGATTTGCCGGTCTATTTCTGTGCCCACTAGCTCTGCAACTAAAGCTCTGTTTGGTTTTATGCAATCATTAATCAATAGAAAGATAAATTAATATGTCGCATTCGAAAAGTTTCTTTTGATGAATTCGTTAAAATAAGTAAAGAAAATATCAAATAAAATCAGAACAAACCCTAAAACGTCGACGGGAGGACTTGGGGGCGGAGGCTGATCGAAGGAGAGGGAGCTCTCGGCGTCAGAGCAGGCGGATTCGAAATCGGATAGCTCCGACGCGGAGTGGCGGCGGCGGTGGTTGGGAAGGATCGATTGGGTGTAGCGATCGGCGAGGTATAGGTACCGGTTGTGGAGGTCGTGGAGAAGAGAGACCAGCTGCGGACGTTTCTGGTAGTAGTTCTCGGCACGTGTGGCGAAGGAATCCGGCTCCTCCGCCTCCGTGTGGGGGATTGGGGAGAGTGCCTTCACCCTCTTCTCGATATCTGTTTAATAATGGAAGCGCCATTGTTGATATCTTTCAAAAGAGCAGAACTTTCAAGAAGTTTATCATAAGATTATGGAAAAAATTTTCATACGTGAGATGTAGGTTTCAGAGAGGGTATTGTGGATTATATTCGTGTTATAATCTCTTTAACTTTTCTGTAACTTACCTGTAACTAATAAATTACAGGTAAATTACAAATAAGTTACAGGAGTATAACGCGGATATAACCCCAATACCCTCCATATAACCTACTTGAATTGAAATACGCGGCACTACGTATGTCTTGCGTACTCAACTTTTTCTCAAGTATTTGTAAGTTTCAAGTAAGTTACAAATAAGTTACAAGGATATAACGCGGATATAACCCCAATGCCCTACACAGCACTACATATGTTTTGCATACTCAAATTTTTCTCAAGTTTATTCCAAAATATTACAATTATAATTTGCAGGCATATATTCTGAAAAAAAAATCATAGAAAAAAAATAGTTAAATTAAACCAAAATATAATTATTATAACGTAGGCCGCAATTATAGGTTGTCACATGCGTTTTCCGATAAGTAGAGCCCGCTTGTGATAAGATAACATTATTTCATGCAGCATCTAAGGGATCAGGATGGCAGCTAGCGCTATTTCATTTTGGTTGCCATCAGTAGGATATTGCAATTGTTTTGTAGTGAAAATAATTCTGATCCGATAAAAAAAAAAGTAGCAATTATATGCCAGACAATCAAAAAAGATTATACATTTTATTAATCTATTTATATTTCATTAGGGACTCCTATTTTTTAAGCATATCACTCCTCTCAAACAAACAAGCTGTAATGGGTGGCTCCCTCCTTGCAGATTTGAAATAAATCATTTTTTAATAGATATAATTAAAAAAAAAAAGTTTAGGAAGATTTGCGTATATACCGCTGAATTCCTATGTATTCACCTTTCTAAAACTTAAAAACTTTAATTTTTTACTTGCATACCACATTAGATGTGCATAAAAGTTGTTTTTCACTTTTAAAATTAATATGGTTGTATTGTTGTTGCGATTTAAAATTTTTGGATTGTATAAATGAAAAAAAAAAAGAGTAGATGTTAGACAAGCAAATAACCTCAAACACAACACCTAATCCAAGCACTCAAAAATCATAATTGTGGTCATCTCTATGTGAACGATGTCCATTAACATCTTGATGAAATACAAGGTCATTGATTATAATTTTACCTAAAAATCATGATGCTAGCACCAAACCACATTCATGCACTCTCTTGATTACACTGAAGATCAAAATTGGACTTTCCAATTAGAGATCCATTTGGAAGAATCATGTAATAGAATAAATGTTGAATTAATTTTTACAAAGCATACATGTGCTATAAATCTCTTTATTATTAAAGGCCACAATTGAATGGCAAATTTTAATGTAGATAAGTGTAGTTTGTTGATCAAGCACAATTGCTTCTATTAACAGAATTATTGAGTAAATTAAAAACTCAAACCAGCAACCCAGTGACCCTATCATATCGACCCCTTTAAAATTGATAATGTCCTCAAGGTCAAATAACATAGCAAGGCGGGACAAATCCAAGCAAGAAACATATGAACCTTCAATTCATGTAATGTAGGAAGGAATGCTGATGAAATCGAAAGACATTGGCGACCATCTAACCACACTTAGGCACAAGGATCTGCTAGTGGCAATGGAGTAATTCTTCTATTTGTTCTTTTATTTCATGTCATTGCCATAGGGTGGTTAAAGCCACCTTTGTTATGCATGGTTTGTCATATACAAAAAATGTAGGTGACAAATTTTATTGGTTGATGGTGTGAAGCTTAGATCATTGGTTGAATCACCGAAACAAGTTTTTGCACTTAACGACATAAAATGCATTGCAAAGATCGTGTCATATGTCATCCTACGAAACACCACTTGACAAGATCTAGATCTTGATAAGGTGGCGCAATCATGCAGCCCCATCTTTGACAAGTAAAGATGTTAATGTTGCTCAAATTTTATTTCAAACTCAGTCAATCTCTAATTGATGTCACATATAATTTCCCAAAGCTCATTAAGGTTTTGTTCAACATTGTAAAGACAATCTAGCACCTTAGTTGCTCTACCCATGTCATTAGCTATTATAATTGAGAGGCATTCGTTGAACAGATTTGAAATATCCTGCAATTGGCCACATGGAACACTCTGTGATTAAGGAAATTCCATTCGATGAGAATATTTCGCAAATCCATGGCAACAATTTAGTCAATGATATGGATGTTGAGCCTTCATAATTAGAAAAAGAGGCATCTAGAACATCGAGATAAGGCACTAGTTTGGTATTGCACTACAATAAGAACAGAGTTGGGTATGGGCATTTGATATGGGAACAGAGACATTGTAATAAGGATTTGGACTATATTGGCGGAAGCGGGATATGGTTTTCTTGGCAGGCATAAGGATTTGGTGATTTGCATTGTATATGGAATCAATGCCATTGGAAAGAAGGTGTGGAGATAGCAAACAAAGTTTGTAAGGTGTGTCGGCTGCTAAGAGATGTGTCGGAGCAATGCAATATGTAATAAAAGATGTGATGAACATTACATAAGGGATAAACGATGACCGGTAAGAACACATTATCTATTTATTAAACATTTTATGCTCCCTATTTACCGATAAGCTACTAAGACCCACTATAATCAACTACTTCAATAGAACTCCCAATTATATTTACTCAGATTGAGCTCAAAGCAAACACAACAAGTCCATATAGCTAAATTTGACAATGAATATAGTTAAAATTTGAATCCTGTCTAGTCTGCTTAAGGTCAGATTGAAAGGCATATGAACATAAATATGTAGATAAATATAAATGCCCAAGTCAAATTGAAGATAATTAGTCATAGATGGCTAAAGTCGAGTTAGTCATAAACTAGACTTTACTGTGTTGGTTATCAAAGCCAAACTTTAAACTCCAACAAAAATGGAGGAATTTTTTAGTACTTCACACCCTCTACATTTTCTGGTTTAATTTATAAACAAATACAACACATTTTTCTGAAAATAAAACTAACTAACCACTTAACAGTTTTCCTAACCACCTAACCACAAAACGGTATTCAAAACCTCCTAATCCACATGAAAAATGTGCAAAAATACATAAACAATTTCTAGAGACAACTAGATTAACACAACAATCTCCTCCTT